TATAGGGGGGTGGAGTAAGGGGAGGAGAGAGGACTGTGGGCCCTGCCGATTGGCCAGGCTCAAGTCGGTGTCTTGTTACACAGGATGTGGTCATATCTATGGGGCGCACTTCCTTTGATTGTCATTGGTTAGTCTAAAGAAATCCTGGGTGTGGCTAGCAGAGGCTTGGGCTTCCGGGAAGAAGCTCCTTGCCAAGCACATGGCTAAGGTGCTGCCCACAAATGGAGGATCCGGGGTAAGATGGAGGGCATAGCCCTTGCCCTTTCATTTCCCCCTTTGTCTTGGAACTTCCGGCTCAATCATGAGGCGGACTGCATAATTAACCAAGGGGACCAGTTAACCAGAGACTCCTACCAGGTCTGAGACTGTTCCCTTTCCAATTTTTGCTTTCGTAGTCCCTCTCTTATAAGAGTCATGGATTCTTTTAGAACCCCCGAGTGGTCATCGTAAAAAGAACATTCCTGGGTCAATAGGGTACAACATCCCAACTTCCCTGCACTGATAAAATCAGAGTCCCCAAGTCTTCCCGTTGTCCCATCTGGTAGCCTTCCTTCCCTCTCCCATGAAGGAAAGGCTTACAGGGTTACAGTGGCTATGGCCTCTCAGAGGACAAGGTGGGGGTAGATTCAGCATCAGGCAGGTCGAGAACGCTGTAGCTTGAGCTTGAGCGGGTTGCGTTGATCTCAAACGGGACTCCATCTGGTGACGAAGTCCTCTCAGTTCATGGATGCGTCCACTGACCGGACATGAGTGTGATGGACCCAGGTTGTGATGCCATCTACCTTGAGAGCTGTGGGGGTCGTCAGCATTTCATAGGGAGTAAAGCCCAGGGTGTAAGGGGAATTCCTTACCCAGTAAATGACATATGGTAGGAGATCCACCCAGTCCTCACCAGTTTCCATTGTTAATTTGGTACGCTGATGAGGAGTTGGGGTTGGGCCGGTCTCGTAGATGGTACAGAGGTGCGGCCAAATGTCCTCCTGTGCCCTCTGGAGTCTTCTCAGGGAAATAGATAGTTT